TGTAGCGATAGATTATCATTTAATGTTCCTAGTAATGCTGATCTTTCAATTGAACCATTCTCTCTGGATTTCAGGACAATTCAAGTGAAGACGGTTCTCCGGCAGATAAGAAAAGTGGGTCAAAAGGAATTTCCTGGAACGATTTCTCAGGAGGCACTTTTGGTACTAGCAAGGGCGATATGGGAAGGAATGTGTTAGAAAAACAGGGAGACAAGCCTCATCAAAATCGTAAGAGCAAGAAGATGCCAAAGAGGCTTGTTTTGGATGGCCTTGATGATGATGAGGATGACGAGATTCGGTATTTGGAGAAGCTTAAAACCTCGAAGGTTGCAGGATATAAGGATTTGGGGGAAGAATCAACTAAGACTAGAAGTCTTTCCCGCGTTTTGAAGGTCGATAAGTATGAAATCTTGGACGATGTTGGAAGGTCAGGCAAAGAAGTTGAGAGAATATCAGATCGAAGTTCCGAGTACACTGATTATGAGGAGGATTCCCCTGAGACACCGGCTGAAACAAAAAGGGAAGCAAGTCTCACAACACGGCAACGAGCTCTTCTATCAAGCAGGGATACCTCTGCCACTTCTGCTAATCAGATTGAGTTTCCTAACGGCTTACCGCCGCCACCACCTCGAAGTGAGAAAATTTTGTATTTACTCATATCTTGTGATGTTATCCCTTTCCTCAATCACCTTTTCTGATTCACAAAATTTGTCTTGCCATCTCTGCTTTTTCAACAGAACAAAAGGAGAAGCTAACAGCAGTTGAGCAGCAACTGAAGAAAGCAGAGGCTGCTGAGAGACGTCGAATGCAAAACGAGAAGGCAGCTAGGGAATTAGAGGTTTGCCCTTGTTCTTTTTCTTTGCTTATGATGTGTTACATTTTTTGAGATTTTACGATGCTGAAATGAGCATAACTTTTTCAATTTTGCAGGCTGAGGCAATTAGAAAAATACTAGGTCAAGATTCCAACAGGAAGAAGCGAGAAGAGAAAATCAAGAAGCAGCAAGAAGAGTTGGCACAGGTATCCCATGTGTTGCTAGGTTTCCAGTTTGTTATCGGTTATGAAGCTGACAATCAATTAATCGTTGTATGTGGCACAGGAGAAGGCTGCTAAAGAGAAGATGCTTGCGTCGAGCACTATCAGAACGGTTATGGGCCCCACTGGTACTGTCGTGACATTTCCTCAGGATATGGGTTTGCCAAGTATTTTTGACTCTAAGCCTTGCAGGTAAGGATTGTCACCCTTTCCCTTTCCCTTTCGTCCTCATTTTCCACCCTATGCGTTTTGTTACATCTGGAATCTGAATATTATTGATCCTTACTTTTTGTTATTAAGATTCATTTAAGTTACTTACAGTTTATGCTTTGTGGTTTTGTTGCTATACTCCAGTTATCCTCCCCCTCGCGAGAAATGTGCTGGTCCTTCCTGTGAGAACCCATACAAATATCGTGATTCGAAGTCAAACCTTCCTCTTTGCAGTCTTAAGTGCTACAAAGCAATTCATGAAAAAGGCTGTTAAAATTATTGTGACATATGCAGGTATTCCTGCTTATTTATGTTCAACTTTGTAAGGATAATGGAGATATTCTTTTTTCTCTCAATCATATTATAGAAAATTATACAGGAATTTGGACTACCCCAGTGATTCAAAACATAGCTGGGAACAATTTTTTTTTAAAGTTTTTGTCAGTGTGAATTTATCATGGGCATGCCCGAACCTCTTAATACATTTGCTGTTCTGTTTTTATTCATTTTTCCCTATTTTAAGTTCTTCTAGCTTTGGTTAACCTCTTGGCAGTTCAGTTAAGCATTTTTTTGGTGATGACTATCCTTTCTTACGTTATTCTAGTCGATTTTAGCCTTTCTATTTAGACGTTCTTGACCACTTCATATCCTGGCTGCTATGGTAAGTCTTATCAAGTTCAATTGGTTTATTGACTCCGTCTAGTTTTTAGGATACTTTTGATGCATTTTGAAAATGCTGCTCCATCCAATTGGTAAACTCGGATACATGGGTTGAACTCTGGTAATGCCCATACTTACAATCACTTGGATTTGGAGTTTAACTAGCATGTCAAGTGAAACTGAGATCAAAGCTTGAATCTACATTTAGAAGTGGATCATGTAGTTTAAGGTAGATCCGAAAATAGTTGCTATGTCAATCAACAATCACAGTGGTGTTACATGAGCTTGATAGTTCTGAACATACAACTAAAGCAGCTAGCAACACTGGAACCATAAAGTGGTAGCAACATTCTGCCTTTTGTTTTAATGGTATGATGCACAAAAAAGACTTTCCTTGATCATTGCTATTGATAATAGTTGAGAATGGTTTATTGATTTGCTCGACAAAATCTCAATCTGCACTCGTGCTTGCTTTAGTTTCATTATTGGTCAGAGATCAGAGCTCTTCTGATCCTGTTTTATCTCAATCAAACTCTACAACTACTCTTTTCTGCCAATTGGAAATTCTCATCGAGATTATTATGCAAAAAAAAAAAAATTGTCTTTCCTTGGTATTTCGTGCTGCCAATTAGGTGGGGACATGATTCGAACCTGCAATCTTCAAGAACATGGTTCCAACTTCCAACTAGGCATATAAAATGAGGCAAACAATAAGAACCAAAACACATAATTAATCAATAAGCATGGGATATGAGCCTCATCGAGTTCTGAGAATTGGTACCTCAGCTGATGATTTTGGTTCGAGCAATCTTGAAATGTCTTTTCCTCTCAGGTGTCCGGTTCACGCATTAGAGCCTCACTAATCTGGATTCACATCGAGGAAAGTGCATGGATAGCCATTGTTTTGGCTGCTATTTAAGTTTCAACCAGAGTTTGTAAATTATTTAGAGCTTAGCCAGTCACATAAAGGGCAGCTCTGCGTACACTCTACCCTCCCCAGACCCCACTTGTGGATGTTGTTATTGTTATTGTTAGCCCGTCACATAAAAAGGGCAGCTCGCTTCTTTTCTTTCTCGCCTCTTCTATTGCTTCTCTTTTTCTCTGTCTTCTTCTTCTTCAACATCCCTTAATTCTTTTCCCACTATATATAACACTTACTACCAAAGAACTTATTCACGATCACTAGTAATTCAAAAATTGACTCGCCTCCATCAATATACACCTTCAACAATGAAAGTTCTTGCTCTCTCTCATCGCAAAGACCCAAAACTCATTCGAACTCCTCCTCTTCCAATCACAACGAATGGTTGGAAATGTTTGCTTTAATTATTCGGTAGAATAAACATAAATAAGTTTATAATTTGATCTACACAGTTCGAACTGACATAGTGTCCTAAAGTTTTTAATCTGAAAAGTTGAATTTCAAGACATAGTGTTGCTAAAGTTTAAACTTGAAAAACTGAACTTAAAGACATAATGTCCTGAAGCTTTGAACTAAAAAAATTGAACTTCAGGACACAATGTCTTGAAATTTTGAACTAAAAAACTGAACTTCATGACATTCGTTTGTAAAACTGAAACATCTTCCTACTTTCTTAAATTGTGGCTAAACACTAAATAATTTACAGGTGTTGGATAAAACTTAAACATCAGTCCTATAAGTGGCTACCATGTGACATTTCTATATTCACATCGCATAAGAACCATTAAAGAGAAAATGCTTCCTGCCAGAATTCTGAAACCTCTTAAAGGTTAATCTTGAAATGTTCGTGTACTCTGATTACAGTCACCAATTACTCTTAAATTCTGTTTTATTTTTTTCTTCTCTAGGGGTTTAAAAGTTTTGTTGCAGAAACTAAATTCGAATTCACAATAATTCCACATTGAAAATAAAACGCTCCCTGACAAAAACGATTCCGTATCCGGGTCACACAATTGTTTTCACCATCTAATCTGTCACAAATGTATAAACAACACGAAACTAGAGTTATCCATTAGTTTTCACTTTTTCCACTATCCTCATAAGTATGCATAAGAGCAAGTAGGGCACTATTTATAAAAGAAAGTACATCGCTTATTGTACATGCGACCTTCGGTAAAAAAAAAAAATTGTGCAAATTTTCTTTTTAAAAAAAGAAGGAAAAACCATGAAATAAAGTAGGCTGCCGGTTTACTTAAGACATACAGTTATAAGCTTTGTTCAATTTTTTTTTTCAAAAGAAGAAAAAACATAAAAGGAAGTAGGTCGCGGTTTTACAAGCGACCTACAGTTAGAAAATTTCCTCATTCTTTTATTGGTAACAACGACAATAACAAGCCGAGTAGTTTCTCATAAGTGGGGTCTGGGGAGGGTAAGATGTATGTAACCTTACCCCTACCCCGGAAGGGCAGAGAGGCTGTTTCCGATAGACCCTCGGCTTGAGAACGACTGAAAATAAAAAGGTAATTGCAACAAATAGGGATAATAGCAAGATAAAATAAGATCAAATCCAAGAATGCAGCGAAACTCTAGGTAATAATAGCAATCTATGAATAAAAAGATATCATACTAACACTAATGCTAGCGAACTGAGTAAGACAAAGAGAAAACGCTCGACTACCTACAAACCTTCTACCCTAATCTTTGACCTCCACACCCTCCTGTCTAGGGCCATGTCCTCAGTCGGCTCCAGCCGTGCCAGGCTTCTATACTTCTCCTCTTAATATGTCCAAACCATCTCAACCTCACCTCCCGCATCTTATCCTCCACAGGGGTCACTCCCACCTTTTCCCCCAATAACTTCATTCCTAATCTTATCTAATCGGGTATACCTACACATCTACCTTAACATCCTCAACTCAGCTACTTTTAGCTTCTGGGTATGAGAGTTCTTGACCGGCCAACACTCTACTCCATACAATATAGTCGGTCTAGCTACAACCTTGTAGAACTTACCTTTAAGTCTCAGCGACACATTCTTATCACACAAGACATCGGAAGCGAGCCTCCACTTCATCCATCCTGCTCCGATACGATGCGTGACTTCTTCATCAATCTCCCTGTTACATTGTATTATAGATCCAAGATACTTGAAACTACCTCTCTTGCGGATGACTTACGTATCAAGCCTCACCTCCATATCCTCTTCCTGGATAACGTTGCTGAACTTGCATTCCAAGTGTTCCGTCTTGGTCCTGCTCAACTTGAAACCCTTAGACTCTAGGGTCTGCCTCCAAAACTCCAGCTTCTCGTTAACACCACCCCGTGTCTCGTCAATTAAGACTATGTCATCAACAAATAATATACACCATGGAACCTCACATTGAATATGTCTCGTCAATGCATCCATCGCCAAGGAAAATAGAAATGGGCTAAGAGTTGATCCCTGGTGCAATCCCATCACAATCGGAAAGTGTTCCGAGTCTCCTCCCGCTGTCCTAACCCGAGTCTTAGCTTCATCATACATGTCCTTAATCACCCTAATGTAGGCTACTGGGACCCCTTTAGCCTCCAAGCATCGCCAAATCACCTCTATCGGGACTTTGTCATATGCTTTCTCTAGGTTAATGAACACCATGTGCAAATCCTTCTTTATCTCCCTATACCGCTCCACCAATCTCCTCACAAGGTGAATGACTTCCATAGTCGAACGCCCGATATGAAACCGAACTGGTTCTCAGAAATAGACACACTGATCCTCACCCCCACTTCAACCACTCTCTCCCAAACTTTCATCGTATGACTAAGTAGCTTAATCCCCCTATAATTATTACAACTTTGGATACCTCCCTTGGTTTTATACAGAGAAATCATCGTACTCCACCTCCATTCATCGGACATCTTCTTCGTCCTAAAAATGACGTTGAACAGCCTAGTGAGCCACTCCAAATTTGCCCTACCCGCATTCTTCCAAAATTTTACAGGAATTTCATCTGGTCCGGTAGCTCTACCCATGCGCATCTTACGCATATCCCCCTCGAACTCCTCTATTCTTATGCGTCTACAATACCCAAAATCCTGGCGCATCTCGGAGTGCTCCAAGTTGCCAAACACAATGTCCCTATCACCCTCTTCGTTTAAGAGTTTATGGAAATATGTCTGCCATCTTCGTCTAATATGAGCCTCTTCCATCAAAACTCTACTGTCTTCATCTTTGATACACTTAACTTGATCTAGATCACATGCCTTCCTCTATCTCACCTTAGCTAGCCTGTATAGCTTTTTTCCCTTGCCTTTGGCCCCAAGCTCTTCATACGAACGCCCAAACGCCGCAGTCTTTGCCATAGAAACCGCTAACTTCGCCTCCTTCTTAACCCTCCTATACCCCTCCCTGTTCATCCTATTCATCTCCTCGTCCATGCTCTCTATAAGCTTCAAGTACGTCGTTTTCTTGGCTTCCACTTTCTCTTATACCTCCTCACTCCACCACCAATCACCTTTGTGGCCGTCAGAGAAACCCTTCGAGACCCCTAACACTTCTCTCGCAACTACTTTACTACACTCCGCTGTCGTGGTCCACTTACAGATCACGTCCCCACTGCTCCTCCAGACTCGCATAGCCAACAACCCCCCCTCCCCCCATCTCCTGCACTTTGTCATTAGTCAAAGCACCCCACCTGATCCTGGGTTGACCATACACAACCCTCTTCTTTCTCTTCCTCATGATCTCTAAGTCCATCACCAATAACCTATGCCGAGACGTGAGATTCTCGCTTGGTATAACCTTGCAATCTATGCACAGACTCCTATCGCACTTCCGGAGGAGTAGATAATCAATTTGAGTCTTGGCCAACGAACTCTGGAATGTGACCAAGTACTCCTCCATGTTCGGAAAATACGAGTTAGCAATCACCAAATAAAAGGCTTTATCACAGTCCAACAACGAAGTACCTCCTCCGTTCCTAACTCCAAAGCCAAAGCCGCCATGCACACCGTCATAACCCCCAAAGGTCGCCCCAATGTGACCATTGAAGTCACCTCCTATTTTTAACTATAGATATAAGAAGCAAACTGAAGGGGAACCTTGGTGTAACTGATAAAGTTGCTGCCATATGACCAGGAGGTCACGAGTTCGAGGCGCGAAAATAGCCTCTTGCAGAAATGTAGGGTAGGACTGTGTACAATAAACCTTTGTGGTCCGGCCCTTCCGGACCACAAGGGTCTCGGGAGCTTAATGCACTAGGTTGCCTTTATATAAGAAGCAAACTATGAGAACAAAAGGACAATAATATGAATCTCATCGAGTTTTTAGAATTGGTACTTAAGCTGAATTACCAAATAAAAAAAAATTAACCTTTGTTGAATGAACCTTGGAGTAACAGTAAAATTGTATATGTATAATATATCAGTCATCAGTTCAAGCTTTGGAATCAGCTACTAATTATTTACAAGAACGAACTATGTATATAACTTAAATTCATTTTTTAATTGGGGTGCAAATGAAGTCTTTGGTAGAGTTTCCATCCGTGTGGAGCCTATTTGCATGTTTTCATCATGTTGCGAATGCGAAGTGCTTTAAAATGGTTGTTCTTTTATAATATTCTAGCTAGCTTCCATTTTAAGGCCAAATTCAAATCTTTGAATTAAAGCCCACATATAATGCCATCACGTTGGATTTGGTGAGATTTGTCGTTGTCACGATCACTTCTAATTAAGAATTTCACTCCAAAAAAGGAATAATTGAAGTCCAATTAATTATCCAACAACAAAGCGACCTTTTATAGCACGTAGTTCTAGTTACATCAACTTAGACATGAGAAAATTAGAATATTAAGTAGTTTGAATTTATGTTCGTGTTTGATTGGATTCTAGCTTCTAGATATTGGTTAATGCAACTAAAATACGCATAATGGTTAAATTGCAAGGATGATATAATTTATATATATATTATCCTTTTTTGTTTTCCATCCGGTGTCCAATATCTCTATTGGGGTCCGACTAAATCCGAATTCGCGCCAGAAAGTCCCACATTAGGGGTAAAACATTCCCTAACAAAGGCGATTTCATACCTTAGGCTCGAATTCGAGACCTCTGGTTAAGGATATATGAAGGAGTACTTAACACTCTACTACAACCTTTGTTAGTATATAATTCATATTATCACTCTATACTACTAGCAACGTAGATAACAGATCAATTCTTCCTGAATATTTGGCACTTGCTGATGCTTCCTTTCACTATGTATATTTGCATCTATATTCTATATGTAAAGAGGTGTTGAATACGTACTATACTTTGAATGAAAATAGAAAAGGTTCTTCCTCTTGGGCATAAAAACCTACTATGCCTAAGTTGAATTTTATACTTAAGTGAGTGTTAGAAAATTAAATTCTCTTGTATACCTTTAAATAATTTTTTTGGTAACTTATCACTATGCTAAGAGGTAAACTTATAGTAGAATATAACTTATATATACTGATAATATTAAGTTTTTACTGTATTTTAATCTATTATAGTAGGTAACTGTCTTATTTCTCTAGGTTACTAATTTCAGCTTTATAGCCGATTACCTGTTGTTGTCTTTTAGGTGATCTAATAGTGTAAATTTTTTCAAATTTAAATTAGAAAAAAAAACAATTAGTATAAAATATCTTTCGTGTACGGCGGCCACCAATTGGTGGAAATATGTATGAATAAATTAAAGTACATTATTGGATAAGTCCATAAAAAGATATATACACCAAACTCGTTAGAGAAGAAAACGTAGAGAAGATAGTCGTGGCAACCACTTTAATTTATAGTCTTTTTACTTATTCTTCTTCTACTAATTTGCATAATTCGTTTCTTCAAAATTTTGATCACTTATATACTCCTCATTCCTTTACGTACTTGTCAAAGAGAAAGCAGTTCTTTGCTTGTTAATTAAAGTTAAATGGGATCAAGTTCAGAAATATGCTACCAAGAAGAGAAGAAAACCATTTCATTCTTCGACTATGTTGCCAATGTGTTAAAAGAATCATTTCAATGCCTTACCATTATCCTCCTCAGCCTTCTCCTCCCTCTCTCTTTTATTGTCCTCGCTAGGCTCTCAGTCGCTCGCTATTTCATTACCACCTCAGCTGAGTACTACATACGACCTGATTCTCTTCTCGTCAAAATCTTCCTCTACGCGAATCCCAATATTCTGCACGTACTAGTTCCACTTGTCGCCGTTTCAGCTCTCATCCACGGGTTAACAGGTCGAACCATATTGTTCATTAAACAATCCGCGGATCACATGACTTCAAAACCTTGTCTGTATACCGCTTGGTTTTTTCTTTTCATGCTTCAAATATTTGTGTGCATAGGCGTAGAAGGTAGTATAGCTATTGGAATAGGTGGTAGTTCAAGTTTTAGTCATCACGAAAGATTATGTTTATTGAGTAGAGTTATATTCTTTTTCGGGTTGCATGAAACGACGTCATTTTGGTCCAAGAAAGTGGTGAAGCCGGTAGTGGACGACACCGTTTTCGGGGTCGAAACGGCGGATGATAGGGTGGTTGAGAAGGTGGCAATGGCAATGAGTTTTGGTGTGTTGTGGTGGTGGAAATTGAGGGATGAAGTTGAGTCTTTAGTTGTTGTGGCTGAGGTGAAAAGGGAGTTGATAGGTAGTGTTGATTTTGTTGGTTGGTGCTTGTATTATATGACTCTGGCAATTGGTATGGTTAAGATTGTGAAGGGTCTTATTTGGGTTTGTTTTGTTTTGTTTTGTGGGAATGTGGTTGACTCTTCGGACAATGCCGGCTATTCTACAAGAAATGATGAAAAGGTCTGAGAATTCATCTGATCTTTTCTTTTAATTTTTTTTTTTGTCTCTATACAGTTGTAATCTGGATTGTTAAAGAGGGAGTAGATTATTGTTTTTGTTTGGTCAATGAGGGGGACATGTATGTATTTTTTTAGTAAAACAAATGCAAATACTAGACGGTGTAACGCTGTCGACTTGTGAAGGAGAAAGATAATTTTGATCTTTTGTTTCAGAAGGAAATAAATGGCTCACAAGAAATTGAAAGAACCATATCATATTAAAAAAGCAATCAATTTTATTAAAATAGTAGAAAGGAAAACAATAAAAGAATTAAATTTGTACTTTTTTTGTCTATCTAGTTCAAGAAGGGGTGCTTGATTGATTGATTCTACATTTCTATATAACTCATTCAATTTAATTACAGTTATTCAAGCCCTTCTAATTTGATGGAACCTAAGTGATATGAGAGGGGGAAACGGAACAAATCTCTGCTCTTAAACTTTAAAGCCATTACTGAACGACAGCTATACACAAAAGATCCGACGAGACTAATTAAGCTTTCAGAAAAGACAAACCTACTGCACGAAGCATCCCGTATTCATGCAGGGTTCGGAGAAGGGCCGCATCCAAGGAGTGTGATGTTAGGCAGCCTACTCTGATGCAAGCATTAGTAGCTGATTCCACGGCTTGAACTCGTAACCTATAGGTCACACGAAGACAACTTTACCGTGGCTCCAAAACTACCTTCATTAATTAAACTTTCAGTAATGTAAAATCTAAAGAAGGGTTATTACATTAAGAAGCATAAATTGGATGATGGAAAGTTACTCTTCTTTCAAAAATTGTTCAGTTTGCAATCAAAATAGTACTCACATATTATAATCCAAGAGTGAATTATCAAAAGAAACCATGATTAGTTTCAAATGCACAAAACTTAAAGACTACTAACCTCTTCAATTTTCAGGATGGCCAACAATCAGAAATGTTTTTTTATGTTGTGTGTTTCTTTTCTATTTCCTTAAGACAAGTAAGCAAGAGAAAGTCCTATGATTATCAGGTTTTTGTCCTGTGCCAAGTCATAACTAAAATGACATAATAATTTACCTCCTTTTTTTCCATTACTTTGACCAAAAAGACATCAGTTCCGAAGCTCAATTGCTCTAGACACTGTATCACTTCTGTTCCTTACTGAGACTGACATTTGGCCTGCAGACTTTCCTTTTTGTTTCTCTAATGCCATTTCCTTCTAACCATGGCATTATGCTTTCAACAATATTTCATTGTCCCAATCGTCTTCTCCAAATGCATAAAATTCCTTAATCAATCAAACTCGTTAAGGCCTATGATGAGCTACCTCAGTCAAGGTTGCTTTTAGAGAAAAAACAATACCAGAGACTATCTTTCATCTGGACTCTCTGCTTGTCCCAGGTATGAAAACATCATCCTGGCATCGGTCTTCTAAACTTTCACCATGAACAAGCTATTTTTATTTCCGAGGACAAAAACTTCACTTTCAAACCCGAGTAAATTCCTTTCTACATCTTCCAGCAGTAAAATACAGGTTGCTATAAGCCTGATATCACCAAGACTATAAATCTGATCAAGACTACTTCTTCAGGTTAGCAGTTGGCAATATAATAGCGGAAAAGATCGTACAGTTCTAGGATCATGGATCAAGTCTCAATCCCCGCCATTGATTTCAGTGTATTCCAGGCTGGTCACAATCATCTTCAAGAGTGTGTGAGAGATGAATTGGTCAACGACGGAGTAATAGATCCTTTGTTTGAATTGGATAGTGAGGATCTTGACTCTCTTTACTCTGTGTTTGACCTGAAATATCAAGAGAATACATCAGACAAACATGTTCAACTATCGGAAGATCAGCAACAGAACATCTCAGGTTATTGCACTCAAAGTGATGACTCTTCTTCCAACACGGACTTTCCCCTGCAGCCTGTCCAAATTCAGTCCACCTTTGAAGCATCTAATAGGATTCAGCCTCAAGTGCCAAGGCTTGGCAATTTCCATGGAGAGAAAACAAATCCCATTTCTTCAGCATCGTTGGAGCTGTTGAACAATTGTGGGAGATTGTTCAAGAAATCAAGCGAGGAAAATTTGAGCAATGTACACATCAACGAGGCTCATGTAGGTAACATCCCTAAGTTGTCAACAGAAGAAATCTTGCGAGTTGCTGGAGAAAGATATATCCAGTACTCCACCCAAAGAGTAGATGGTCTTTCTATGTTTATACATCCTTATGCTTCAGCACTTTCGGGCCTTTCCATAGAGCAAACGAGGGACATGGAACTCGTTCACCTCCTTCTAGCTGCTGCAGAAGAAGTGGATCAGCAGCAATTTCATCTGGCTAGCCAATCCATTGCACGTTGCCTGTGGAAGGCATCCGTCACAGGTAATGTTGAGCTGTGTGTGATCATTTCGTTTAAAAGCTTAAGTTATTAGAGAGGTACACTTTTATTTACTTAATTATTATGTCTTCAACACGCCTCCTCACGTGCGGGTTTGATTCTTTTTCGTGGGCCAAGTACATGAGAATTTTTTTTACAATGGGTGGCCGCGAGTCTTGAACCCAAGACTTGCTCTGAACCATGTTGAACTGAGAAAGTACACTTTTATTTACTCAATTATATATTCAACAGGTAATCCAATCCAGAGGCTTTGTTTCTATTTTGGTGAAGCTTTACAAGAAAGGATTGATCGAGAAACAGGAAGGTCCCCAAGTTTTGAACGAAAATTAAGGGTTTTAAGCACTCTGGCATTAGGTACCACACCTGAAGCCTTAACCTGCCACACAGAAATTCCATTCAGCCAAGTAATGCAGTTCGCAGGAGTTCAAGCAATAATTGAAAATGTTAAAGGTGCAACCAAGATCCATTTGGTTGATTTTAATATCAGAACTGGAATTCAGTGTACAGGCTTGATGCAAGCTCTTGCAGAACAATGTGACTGTCCAATTGAGCTTCTGAAAATAACTGCCATTGGACACCAAGAAAAAGAGAAAATCGAAGAAACAGGCAAGAGATTACAAAATTTTGCCAATTCCTTGAATCTGCCCTTTTCATTCGATATAGTCTTTATGTCTGACATGAAAGATCTTAGGGCAGAATCAGTAAACGTTAAAGCAGATGAAACTGTGGCTGTCTATTGTAACGCTGTACTAAGGACAATGATCTGCAGGCCAGAGTATATGGATAACACGATCCGAGTAATCAGAGGACTCAGACCATCTGTAGTTGTTGTCTGTGAGGTGGAAGCAAACCATAACTCACCTTCATTTTTGAACCGTTTTGTGGAGGCACTTTTCTTTTATGGTGTGCTTTTTGATTGCTTTGAGGACTGCATGGATAGAGACAATTTGGCTAGAAAGAGGATTGAGGTATTTCATATTGGTGAAGGTATCCGGAATATGGTTGCAGCTGAGGGTGCAGAAAGGTTCACACGGAATATGAAGCTTGATGTATGGAGAGCATACTTTGCAAGGTTTGGAATGGTTGAAATGGAACTCAGTGAGTCATCTTGGTATCAAGCAAATCTGATTCTCAAGCAGTTTTCCCAAGGCAGTTCCTGCAATGTTCAAAATGATGGGAAGGCCCTCCTTGTAGGATGGAAAGGAACAGCCATTGAATCTGTTTCTATTTGGAAGTTCTTGTAAAGACCACTAAAAAGGGTAGCTTAGAGTCATTGTAGCTAGGCAGAAAATGCAAGTAGCACATATCGAGGATAAAATGAGAAATAGCCGCTTGAGATGGTTAGGTTATGTCCTGTGTCGACCTCGTGCATTAGTCAGTAGGTGTTCAATAGTGACGAGTAAAAGTGATAAAACATGACGAGGTAGACCTAAAATCACATGGAAGGAAATTGTCCCTAAAGACTTACAATCTCTTGGAATCCATGTAGACCTAGCGAAAAATAGGGCACAATGGAAGAAAAAGATCAACATAGATAACACCAATTAATTGGGAATATGTTTTGATCAATTAGTACGTTTTGTTTAGGTCCTATGTTTTCAAAAATTCTTTTAGTCCTGCTGAAGATTTATATGAGAAAAAAATAGAGAACTTTTTTATTTTTTGTTTATTTCGTATAATATTGATATGAGATGAGCTTAAATGGAGTGATATGGTGAGTGATGTTTTACATAGTTGACCCCAACTTGCTTGCGATTGAGATGTAGTTGTTGTTATGTTACTTTAGCTGGCATCATCTTGGGCATCTCCATGACTTTTCAAACAGCTATCGATTTGCCATGCAACCCAAATCTACCATGGGCAGAATGCTTTTTTTGTTTCTCAACTTCTTTTTAATCAAAGTGAAAGAATCAGTTAGTGAAAATCATAACCGTCACATGAAAACAAAGAGTCCAAGATAGATGCCATTCAGCCTTGCAATATTTTGTTACAGACAGCTTCTAGGGCGACCTTCTTAATTTCATGAGCAGGTTCTTGTCTACATTTACTATAAAATGCTGGTATTCTGATAATTCCTTCATGTTCTCTAACAGTAATTTGAGAAACCCCTCAAGTATACTCAGTAATAACATACTCATTTCTTGCTTAACTAATGACTACCTGACAAAAATAAAGCACGTCCACTAGTAAGTGATGAATTTCTTATTCTCGAATGCCAATTCTTATTGACATCCATTGTCCTGCCAGTCCTTTCAACAAAATCCAGCTATATTTCATCACCTCATTAACAGAGGTAAACATCCAACAGGTCAGTAGATCATATTATATTTGGTAGTTTGTGCATAGATTGCCAAATTGTTGATCTGTTTATGTCACTAACAAGAACAGCTAGCCTGCAGACCTTTCTAATTATAAAAGATTGGACTGCATTCAGGCCTGAGCCTTATAGTAAATAGGACAAGCATTAATCAGATTAGGAGGCAAGTTATGATTAGCCGAAGCTCTGAGATTAGGTTAAGCAAAGGGCAAAAGGAGGCACGAAATAAATGAGAATAAACGAAGAAATGCTTAAAAGTACCAATTTGGTGCTGGTCCTACTTCCAGTGAAAGAAAAAATTTATCAAGGAAAATGTGACTTATAACAATATATCAATCAGTTTACAATCTTACATTAAGTAAAGCTAAGGCCGGGAGCTTTGAGTGCATTTTGCTCATCCATCACTCGCCTCACAACCTCAGAATCAACATACCTGCCCATACCTGCAAGGATATTCGAAAGAAGCACATAATCACCACCGTATTTGTTTTCCATCTCCATGATCTTCTGCATAACTCTTTCTCCCAGATCTGCATTATCATGAAAACTACAAGCTCCCAATAGTGTTCTCCAAATCACAACATTAGACATAGCATTAGGTATCTCCAAAGCTATTTCTTCTGCTTCTACTAACCTACCTTCTCTGCCTAACATGTCTATCAAGCTGCCATAATGCTTAATGTCTGGTTGAATCCCAAACTCATCAACCATCTTCCTGAAAAACTCGAGCCCCTCATCCACTAAACCTCCATGACTGCAAGCATTGAGCATGCTCAAAAACGTTATGCGATTCGGTTCAACACCTGCATCCACCATCATCTGATAACTATCCGAAGCTTCTTTTGCCATCCCATGCATTGCACATCCTGATATTATCGACGTCCATGACACCAAATTCCTTCTTTCATCTATTATATCCTCAAAAACTCTCACAGCATCGTCTATGCTTCCACATTTAGCATAAGCATCTACAAGCGAATTCATAACACGGATATCAAAAGCATTAATACCACTTTTCTCCCCGTAAGCGTGAACCATTTGGCAACACTCTAGACACCTAACATTCCAAATAGCAGGGAAAATCGCCAAAAGACTCACTTCACTCGGTTTAATCCCCTCGACCACAACCATCTCGCGAAACAAAGTCAAAGCCTCATTAAACCGACCCATCCGCGTATACCCATCAATGAGACCCGTCCACGAAATGACATTCTTCTCCGGCATTGCATCGAACACCGCCCGAGCAACCTTAACATCACCCCATTTAACAAAACCACTGATCAAAGCATTCCAAGTCACAGAATTTCTGACAGGCATTTTATCGAACACCTTCTTCGCTTCCCTAACTAACCCACATTCACCATACATATTAACCAAGGCAGTTTGCACATAAACATGCGATTCAAATCCATCCTTCAAGCTCAAACAATGAAGCTGTTTTCCAATATAAAACTGTTCTAAATTGGCAGATGCTTTGATCAAGAATAAATATGTAAAACTATCAAAAAAGATAACTTTTTGATACTGGAATCGGAGTTTCTGGAAAAGAAAAAAGGCTTCTTGTGGTAAAATGCCAAGAGAGTAATGGCGAATTACAGAGTTCCACAAAGTTAATATGATGGGTATTGAACTTGGGTTAAAGGCGTTTTCGGCAGTCGTGAATATTAACTGAGTATGAATCTGTTGAATTGCTCTGCGGTAGTTCTGGTGTCTTTTAACGAGGTTAAGAAGATGATTAACATCTCTGCCCATTAATAGCAGCAAGTTTGCATTTTTTTATTATGGCATGAAAAGAAAGAAAGCTTGTTCTTTGAGCCTTAACGGACTAAATTACCTAGTTAAATAATTGTTTAACCTTAAAATTTGATAACAATTAAATTTATAATATGATTCTAAGGACACGTGATTTCACTTAATATCAATTGAAATTGATAAATATGAGGATAATTAATAGAAATTAACAATAAAGAAAAGCAAACCATGTTAGAATGAAACACAGCTCTTGAGTTTGGACAATGTTGATACAAGAACTATGGAAGTATAACAAGCTCAATAACAATGGTGAAAACAATAAAGAGAATTGTATTGCTTTTTGTGTCGGTCAAAACGTGTCCTACAAATGATTAGAAACCTCCTTTATATAGCAGAGGAGTTCCACTTATGGTACAATTCTAATTACAGAAAGAAAACCCATGATTACCTAATTAACCGTTTCTCATTCGACCAGTCACCGAGATTTATGCCATGATCCTCGGTCAGCCACGGATATCTTGCCTTTCTGTTATTATGTATCTTCGATCTTGCTCGATGTCCGTCTCATTTGGCTTCGATCGCTACTAGCCTCGATCTCGACAGGTACCTCGGTTCTGAGCTCGGTACCTTATCCTCGTGATATGGCCTATTCCGTTACGAGACCGTACTTCGCTGCAAACTCCCGGTCTCGGTCAAACAGTAAAATTGGGTGGGCCTGGTTTTAACCGTATACAAATAGTCCCCTCGTTTTTTGGAGTGTAATGACAAGAAACGAATTGAGCCTTCGTTTTTCTACCTCGACCTGTCATGACGTCATCCTTGTGACGTAAGCGACGTAAATGATTTAAACGTCCCGTCTGTACAGTTACCAAGGCAATAAATGCGCGTCAGTCGATGGTCGGCTACCGCCAATATTGAACCGTCGTTGTTGAAATTTATAAATAGCCCCTCTCTCCACCATTTCGAACTTTTACTTTCAGATTTCTAATCTCCAAAACTTTTTATACCTTCTAACTTCTTCATCTGCAAATCTACGATTTTCACTGCTGCCATCTTCTCAAAACACCAAATCTTATCATCTCCATCTATTTTTAACTTCAAATCCATACAAAAATGACAAAAACATCAAAAATTATTCCTCAAAAAGAAAACACTTCTTCATCGCGGCCGGCCGGCGACAAAACACCGGTGGAGCCACGACTTGAAGAGTGTGTTCCCGGGGGGTGTGTTCTCACTTCTGATTTCAAGACCGATAAAGCCTCGTCGATTCCTGGTCGATGTGAGCCAGTGCCGAAGTATATATGCTCGATAACCGAAGGGTACCTTAAGCAGGTAAAGAAAGACTGCAACTGGAAGGACAAAGAAGTGGTGATCCCGACCCCGGAAGAAGACATTACCATCCATGTGGAAGGGGTTTTAAGTGTTTACACTTACCCTTTCACGTTGGGCCCTCTCGGCCCCGTTGTTATTGATTTTTGTCGTGAGTATCAAATAACCCTAGGCCAAATCCATCCTTTTTTTTGGCGAATTATCATTCTGCTCTGATTTTTCGTGAGCAAAGTCGAGGGGATGCCTTTCACTACCTCGACCACCTCATAAGGTTATACAGCCCCGCCTCTATTGAGGCGGGTTAATAAAACTCCAACGCCGAGCCACCAAAGTGTTGTTCTCGAGCATAGACGAGGACAAGGACCAAGGCTGGATGGGCCGGTTCGTTCGAGTGAGGACTTCCGACCTAATCCCGACCGAGAAGATACCATTTCCTGAGAAATGGAATATGAAGCGTAAGTATAATCCCAATGTTAGTTCTTATTTATTGTTTTTCCCCTTTGCTTCTTCTCATCGATATCCCCTTCCGTGATGTAGTCGTTGCTTGGATGCCCGGTGCAATCCCTAATCTCAAGAGTTGGGGGTTCGGGACCTGGCCTCGACCTCTTCGTATGCCGAGCGTTCATGGTGCGATTTATCAAAGGGCCGACGGGAGGCCAAAACTTATGGTAAGCCCCTTTTCCATGTCTTTGATGGTTTTGTTAAGGCAATTCCCACATAATACTTTCTTTCATATAGGCCTTAGCAAAGATGCTGTTATGAGGCCCTTATCTGGTGAGGAGGAGACTTTGATCTAGGCACCGAAACTGGTGAAGGACAAAAAGAGGAAAAAGACCTCACCCTCCGAGGATCCAGAACCTAAGAAGAAGGCAGCTCGTAAGCCGAGGAAGAACATCATCCTCCTGACCGAAGAGTCTGTTCGGCGTCTAAGGGAAGAGTGCGAAGAAGAGGAAGAAGACGACTCCGGGCTGGTGGCCCGAGCGGGAATAAGCACCGGGGCCCCAAACTCCACTGAATCGGTGAAGGCTGCAGAGACTCCATCTCGAGATGAGGGGGTCTCGGGAAAAGACTTGGGCGAAGTCCCCGAGTCATCGAGGATCGAAGATGCTTCCCACCACACTGAGCCAACGGTGGGTACGGTTGTTGAGGCCCTTCGAGATGAGGAGAACTCCCCAAGTGATCCACTTGGGGCAATAGAAATTGGAGGCTCCCCGCTGCTCCCCTCGTTTTCTGAGAAGATGATTCAAGAGGCTCGGGCCTTGAAGACCCTCTCCATCGAAGGAGCCCATGGAAGGGAGGAGATTACTTTACTGGGGTCGAAGATACTATCGGCCTGAGTGATTTGGAAGTCTCGAGGAAGGACTCGGGCGAGGCATTGAGCCTTTTTAATGAAGCGCAACAAGCTATGAATCAGGTAAGCCTTCGCTCCCCTTGTTGGTATTACCTTTGTGTTCATTTTTCTCTTTTTGTCTAACTTCTTTTCTTTTTTCTGCGTAGGCCTCAGCACTTCACCGAGAAGCATTTTCTCGGTCTCGAGCCGAACTGAGTCGGTACGAGGCCGACATTTAAAGGCTTACCGAGGAGAGGAATGCCCCCAATCTTCTCGGTAAGCAAAAAGAAGAACAAATCAAGGACCTCCGAGCCGAATTGGCCACGACTCACAAAGATCAGACCGACCTGATCGAGCAGGTAATGAAAATTTTAAAAGCTCATGGGCTCGATTCTGGAACAATGGCTAACATTTCGATCTCACAGCTACAGCAGAAGATTGAGAGGATCGAGTAGTTCCGCGAGGAGGTAGATACGATAAAGGTGGAGTCCTTGGGGTGGAAAGAAGGTATGGACCACTTTGCTGCAGAAAAAGATACATCTCGAGCCCAATTATCATCGGTCGAAAGTCAGCTTCAAGGTATAAAGGAGAAGATCTTGACTCAAGCAAGGAAAATAGAGGAGCTCGAGGCTCTATTGGCTTCCGAACTTGCCAAGGCCAAATCTGAAGCCGTAAAGGCAAACGCCGAGGCAGATACGATCGTGGCCATCTACCGGGCCGATGCTGAAGCCGCTCAAGTCCAAGCGAGAGAGGCAACCGAGACCGCCCAAACTCGAGCATATTGGATTGCCGAACTTGCCAGATGCCAATCTCATAGGGAAACTCTCGAGGAAATCTACGCTCGAGGTTTCGCTCTTACCAACGAGATAGTTATGGCTAGAGAGCATGAAGCCAAAGCTGGAGCGCTGGACACTTCCGATGACGATGATGATGATGGTAGCAAGAGCGGGTCCGAGAATGGAGAGGACCTCGATGGAGAAGAAGCTGCCATCGGAGAAGATCAGGAATCTTAGGATTTTTCACTTTTGGTCTTTTGTATAGGATCCTGAACGAACCTTGTAAATATTCTCATATATATAAAGATCTCTTTCCTTTCCGACTTGTATTTATTTCATTTATGCCTTGTGAAAATTTTGTTTTATTTATGCCTAATGGAAATTTTGTTCATAAGTTCGAGGCTTAGGCAATTTGATCGAAACTGAGCTAGTATAGTTTTTATAATCGAGTGAGTACTTGGTCGAACTCGGAGTAGGGTTACCCTTAGGTTTTAATTGAGTGAGGATGATTTCTCAAAAATAAACTGGCCCTTTAGGCTCTTGAATTAGGCCGATAGCAAAAAGAATGACTTTCTCTCCCTTTTCGGCTTGAAATATTTATTGTTTAATCATATAAATTCTGTTGTGCCTTAGCACGAAATAAAGGATTTGCTCGAGAGTTCGAACATATTCGTACCCATTAGGATTTTCAAGGGTTGATATTATCGAGACCCTTTGTTTCGTAATGCGTTAGCATAAAATAAAGAATTTGATCGAGAGTTCGAACGACTTTATACCCATTAGGGTTTTCGAGGGTTGATATTATCGAGACCCTTAGAAATTTAGCCGAGGGTAGCTTTTTTTAACTGGTTTGTGAAAATATTAGAAGGCCTGTTTAATAACGGAAATCGGACGTCTCCGAACCGTGTTAATTTGGCCGTAGCCTTTAACTTGGGATTCACCTTTTGGGTTTGTTCCCTTGTTATACTTCGAACTTGTTCGAAGTATCAGTCCCCGAGTGGGGTGGCCGTGGCCTATATAATCATGGATTGCCTTTTTAAGGCCTTACGATTTCGAGGTTTAGTAATTCGATCCTGTCAATTTTTTGGACAGCAGTCCCCGAGTATCGGGTAAATTGTTTGAACTTCAGTTGTGCTCGGCCCTTAAGCCAGTTTCCACAATAGATCATAAATATGAAATTATAAAGTATAAATTTTTCTAAAGCATGGAACATCTAGTAAAGAAAAATACTTCTTTCAATAGATTATACATGCATACATGTTTTGCCATTAGGGTTCGAGTAATCTACATGGACACGGTTCATTTGAACATTTGGTCCTCTACAAAATTTACCTATTGAGACCCCGTCTACATGAAGTATTTTCCTTGTAACTATCCGAAGGTGATGCCACCCAGTATTCGAGGTTGATTGTAAAGGAGCCTCAGATACTGTGAAATTGCTCTAAGTTAGCACGAAGAATGGTTGCCTCGTTAAAAACTTCGCCGGAAAAATCCATTTAGGACAAAAACCGGTCTAAGGGAAAAAGAGTGCAACACGTGCTTTCAGACCTAAGGACTCCGCGTTTGAATAATCCTTTGATGTCTTCGATTAAATACCTGCAAATGGTTAGTATAAAATATAAATGAAAATGGAGAAGG